TTGTGAAGATTATCCAGATCAACTTGGAAGAGTAAAGGCTGAAGTGAAAGAATTCCTATCATCAGACAGAGCCCATGATAATTATTAAGAATATTAAATACAATAAACTAATACTTTGTCACATTAGAAGTACAAAATTAATTTCAAGTAGCTAATAGTGTTTCTGTTTGTTTCTTGTGTGAATTAAGGTTTACAATGTATCTCTCACATTTATTATTATTGTTTCAAAAGAACTTGAAGTAAAAAATAATGACAAAGAAAGAGAACAAAAAAAGACATACAGTGTACATGTAACATAATGCATGCAAGTGCATCAAATCCTCTAATATACTTCAAATCATAATGTTTGTATATACACATGTATGTATGATGAAGGACAGTATAAGTGCTTTGATGTGGTCATATGTCATGTACATAAATTTTTCCTAAATTTTAATTATAAAATTGCTCAAAAATTTAGCAAAAAGCCCTGTACTTGTAACTCAATCTAGTGGAAGGTCTTTCAGCCAAAATAAGTCACAAATGAATTGTTAATGCATTGAGTAGTATAATACTCTTTACTATTTACTTAAGGTCATTAAAGAGAGGGAAAAGGGAGAGAATGAATGAAAACTATTTTTTGCATTTACAATCAAATATTAGTATTTTCTTTTTTAGTAACTTCAATTAATCATTATTTTATCTCTCACATATTTATTAACATTTACTCAAAAGACCTTGAAGTAAAAACAGACTTATTCCAAGAATTGCCACTGAGCCAAGCACAAGGTCTCTATGTTTGTTGCCTGCCATCAGTTGCCATGTGCCCTACTAGCTGTTGCAAGTCACATCTTTAGCATGGGTTGTATTATACATATGTATATGTTGACAATAAAAAATAATTATTAAAAAATTATCATGAATTATAAAGTTCCTACTGATTTAGTCCATAAAGTCTTAATTTCTATAGCATAATAAAATTTATATAAACATTTTTAATAATAATTTACCTGGTAAAAAATGGTACAGCAAATATACAATTAACACAAAGAACAACAACGCCACCAACTTAAAAATAAACATTATAGTTTCTATAAGCAAAATGAATTAAAATAATAATGGATATGAGCAAAAACTAAGTGCTATAAGTTAAACTTTGACTTACCTATTACTTCTTTAAGTATATCTGGAAACAAGTATGCCATGAATAGCATCATGATTATAATTACAAATGAAATAATAATGAAGATTCTTAGACATTTTTCTATTGTTAATAGAAATTACAATAGTAAATAAAATTAAAAGTTCAAAAAATAATATTACAAACCTTTTTTGGATTTCTGTGTGGTTTCTTCAATTTCACCAGTGTTAGGGTTTAGTTCAACTATTAATATAAAATGGAATTACAATACTCTTTTATACTCAATACTTCGCTCATCATGAGATTCTTGCAGTCGATTGCTATTTATGCTATCAAAATCTTGTGATGTTTGATTCCGATTTTCAGGTGTTTGATTCTGAACTTCTAAGGGCTGAGTCCAATCTTGTGATGATGTTTGATTCTGATCTTTTGATGGTTGTTTCTGATTTTTTGATGATTGATTAAGACGGTATAGCTTGTCTTTTCCTACACAAAGTATTATACACATGATGTACTGTAAATAGAACTCAATTTTAGGCACTCTATTTTTTGTTTCCAATAGCGTAAAAAATAAAAGAAAAATATTTAAAAATAATTTTTACATAAAACTCACTAATATACTCAGCTGCTGTCCTATAACCAATTTTGTCAAGAGCATCACATAAGGAAGTCATTGCTGTAGCTGTACCATATCCTTTAAGCCATTTTTCTAGACATTCTATAAGACACTTTTGTGGCTCATAATAATTAGCTTTAATCTGATTCAGTATATGAATAGATAATTCTAACTGCAACCCAAGATCCATCCATGCAGTCGCTGAGAATTTAGCTTCATTCAATGTTCGAAGTACATAATATATGTCACCAATGTATAAAGCATAATCTGTAAAGTAATAAAACACATTAAATTCATTTGTTTCTATTAATAAATACCTGGTTCAATGGTGTTATCTAGGTTAGCTTCAATTTCTAAGTCTAGGTTAGCTTTTGCTTTGCCAAGTTCATCAGGATAATCGCTGCAAAGTTTTTTCAATTTCTCCCAACTGATATCTTTATTGGCATCAAACCACCTCTCGCTAACTTTAATAAGACAATTAATTGCTTGGCCTGGTATTGGTGTCAAATCAGACACATCTACATTTAATCCAGTTCCTATTAGCATGTAATGGTGAGCAGAAGAATGAAATATCCTTAAGAATGCTGCATGAGTGGGTTTCTTGCCTACAATATAATAAATCAGTAGACATTTGCAGCAGTGAAAACATTACAGCAGTTATAAATAATTTACCTTCCCTGGCAACACTAGATTCATCTTGAGCAAGAGGTTGAACAGCAGGAATATCTTCTAATTCTCCTAATTAGATTTTGGAACAAAGACATTAACATTAATTGACTTATACATGTATAATACATACTGGTACACTGTACCTAGTTCTTTAATGATGACATTTCCTATTGCTCTTATTGGTCCACCTTGCTGAGTCAATACATTACATACTTTTACTAAATATTGTTGCTGATCAAGAAGAGAACCAACTAGATCTAATTGATCCATGACATAACATATTAATCTAGATGCTCTGCTATAACTAGATACATCAACTGCTGTCACTACATATTCTCTATCACTTAGTTTTAATAAACCATCAGTAGACAATGCAATTGCTACTCTGTCAACATCAGCTGATACTGCCGCGGCTAAGTTAGCTGAATGCTTCCTTACTATCTCCATTGGAGTTCCTACAGTTCAAATAAGGAATATGCTGTATTAAAAGTATGATCTTTACCAGGTCCTGGGTTGAGTTCAACATCACCTGACAGGAGGAGGAGGAGGAGAGAGAAGAGGACCTTTATCATAGGACAATACACCAACAACTTCATTGCAATGCATTTCAACTGTGACATTGCGTCAATGCGTGGATTGGCAATATTGCAGACACACCCATTTTGTGCAAATAAACATAGCAACCGTTGCTATCCGCTATCTTGGAGGGCATGTTACTAAAACACTGACGGTAATCTTCTTCTTACCTCAACTCCTTGCAATTCACTGATGGTTTAGAGCTTAAAGTTAGCCTAATAGGTCAATTTACAGTTGACATTAAGCTCTTTATACACCAGGCAACAACTTGTTTCAAAAACAGAACTGATTTCTATTTCTGGCAACATGATGTTGATTACAAGTCAAAGTAACCACAAATGTTGCTAGCAACATGTTGCCTAGTATATGGAGAGCTAGGCTGCTGGTCAGACAAAATTGAAGAGCGTTGGAGACAGATGGCTCAGTAATAACAAATTCTATTATTATTATTATGATTAAAGGACTTTACAGTACTAATTATACAGTAGAACATTAAATTGAGAGCAGCAGGATTTGACAGTACTGAAGGTACATCAGTAATTAATACTGAGTACTAGAAATAAAATAAAGCTATAATTTACACTATAACACCACACCCATACATAAAGTTGACTTGTGAAGTGATACACTTGCTACAGGGGCAACAGAAGTGGTATGTACATAGATTGTCAGAGCTGAAAGATTCCTCAAAGTAGGACCACATTAGGCAACGGAGATGGAATTTGGCTGTAGAAATTGAGTAACTTAGAAGATCGACATGCCTTGATATTTTATTCCAGAGTCTGCCAGTCTGGGGAGTTTAGTGAAATACATAAAGCTTATAAAAGTGCCTTGAGGAATGGCAACGTGAAAATTTGTGCCTTAGTTGAGTCTGTTTCAGAGGATAATTCAAAACTTATAATGCAAAAATTCAAACCATGGTACATATACATTCTGAATTTCTGATTGTTTTCTTCAAATTGGTATGATAAAATTAATCCTTAATTTTTATCTCTCACATTTATTATTATTTTTTCAAAAGAACTTGAAGTAAAAAATAATGACAAAAGAGAGAGAACAAAAAGAAAAGAAATAGTACCATATCCATAATATGTATTAATGTTAAAGACATACAGTGTACATGTAACATAATGAAAGTGCATCAAATCCTCTAATGTACTTCACATCATAATGAGTGTACGTATGTGTATGTGTGATGATAAGATACATGTAAATGTATTGTTTATGTGTGGGTCGCCTGTTGCTGCTTCAATTGATCAACATGAGCCATTATCTATAGAAAGAGAGAGAGTTGAGATATTGTTAATATGATTCAAAATTAGAAACATGTATGTTATACATTGTAGATAACTAAGGCTTCTAACTATCCCTGCTGTGGTCTTCACTATATAAACTTGTGGCGGTGCCTTTGATACACCCACACACTATAGTTCCAGTGTACATGTACTGTATGTGTCTTGGAAAGTACCTTTAAAGCTGGTCCTAGTTTAATATTCAAACACTTGACCATGGTGTCCTGACTCAGTAGTAGCAGTGCCTGCCCATCAATCTCCTGATCTTCAAGCAGTGAGAGGACCGGCTGACAGTCCGGCTTAGACTCAAAGAACTTCTTAACGTCACCAATGGACCACTTACTGACATCCACTGGTAGATCTGAGAGAGAAGGGGAGGGGCAAGTAAAATACATGTACATGTACATATGGTAGGAGAGATTTGAGAAAAAAGAATTTTATTAAATCTATTTTTATCTATAAAAAACCTTTTTTCATTAGTTTTCTATTCTCATAATTTTTCGAATTTCTTTTTTTGGCTTTGGCCCCTGTTAAATCACTTTTTCTTTTTCTGCTCCCCTTCACTAATACACGGAGGCAAAAAATTAAATAGCAGCTGTTTCTATCACTCACATGCTACAGTACATGTACCATAAAATCTATGATACATTAAAAATTTCATTAATGATTTATATTGTATCGCTAGAAAATTTGGTGGAGTAAAAATTAGGCGAAATTGGTGAATAGAAATTAATTCGCCAAAATTTTAGTCTCCAATTTGACAGGTTCCATAGAAGGAAGCACAGAGTTAAAATTTACCCTAAATTTTAACCTCCAAACCTCTTTTAGGGTCAATTTACCAAATTTTTCTAGCTATACGGTATATAAGATTTTGTTCTTATTTTAAAATGCTATCACTACATGTCACACAACTATTATTAATAGAAACTGTATAAAGGTACTCTTGGCATTATTATTATTATTATTATTATTATTATTATTATTATTATTATTAATTGATGCGTACCATTAGGTCCTCTTCTTCTATTGCTGGCAGGTGCTCCACTTTTAATTGACGTTGTCTTAGCAACGCTAGTGGTGGGTATAGTCTTAGTAGATGAAGTGAGAGCTAAAAATGGAAAATTGAAATAATTAAAAATTTGTAAAAAATCCAATTTTGATCGGAATCCACTCAAACTTTCTACGCAACATGAGAACAAGTATATGAAAAAGTTATAAAAATGGAGAATTATCTCTTTTTCAATGCTGGTGAAATTTGACTTAGACCATGTACTACAGTACAGGGATTTTGACCCAATTTCGGAGCAACTTTAAAAATTTGTAAAAAATCTAATTTTGATCGGAATCAGCTCAAACTTTCTACGCAACATAAGTACATGTATTTGCATCAGAAAATGTAATAAAAATGAAGAATTTCTTTATTGACATTTTTGGCAAAATTCCGTGTACTATAGTACAGGGATTTTGACCCGATTTCGGAGCAACTTTAAAAATTTGTGAAAAATATAATTTAGATAAAAATCAGCTCAAACTTTCTGTATTACTTACTGAGTGATGTCTCCTTGTATTTCTTGACTGATTGATTAGTATCATCAGCCGGTGGCTGTCTCTTAACTCCTCCCACACTGGCAGTAGGAGCAGCTGGACTAGCGACTGAGGATCCAGACGGAGTGCCAATGGGAGTCAACATGCTAGCATTGGTCAGTATGCTACTGGTAGAAGTAGCGGCTGGGGGAGCCCCCGGGGGGATATTTACTGATTTAGGAGGGGATAAGGAGGAAGCAAAGAACGGCTGAGCACCAGGTACTGAAGGAGAGGGAGAAGAGAAATAATACATGTACATGTAAAAAAGGTATTAATTACATTTACACACGTACATGTAACTTATTATAATTTTGTGGGGGAAATTTGGCTGCTTTTGAAAGCCGTTCATCAAAATAAACCATGTTACTACATGCACATTTTGAGCCGTTATGAATACAAATTCATCAAATTAAAATTCACCAAAATTTCAGCATTTAAAATTAGTAAATTACCAGCTACAGTACATGTACATGAGTAAGCATGGTTATACTGTGGAGGATATTTTGAGAAGATTACACCAAAGTACAATAGTGGGTAAATAATGAACATAATTATTAACCATTCATTATCATAAATCAGGGCTTTATTTAGGGGGGTGGAGGGGGGCACTCACCCCCTTGGGGGACATTTGCCCCCTTAATTGACTTATTAACATGAAAAATTTCATCACCCCAGCAGTACAGTGTATAAGTGTTGTGAGCACACATTGTGCATGCACAATAGAAAATATTAGTGACCCCCTTCTTTGAAATATTTTTAATCCTGCCCCCCCCCCTTTGTATAAAATCCTAGATGAAGGCCTGTAAATACATGTACATATATAAATATAATAATAACCACAGAAAAAAATAAAATAAAGTTTAAAAATTTCTCCACATTCACTTGCACAGCCCCAAGTAGTGCTTATACAGACTCCACTCAATAATTAACACAATACCTTAAGTATTGTAACAGTATGGCTGCAGTACTTCCTACATTGGGCTATAAGCTACAGTACATGTAAAACACTATAAGAGCTGATTCTTGGTAAGTATCACAATAGAAGTGGCAAAAGGAGAGGAATGCACTGGACCATTGGTATCTTTACAACAGGACTAGTACAAGCTAAGTTATAGACAGAAATGAACACAAGACAGTAATTAACATTATCTCTAAAATACATGTAAGTACAAGTTCTACCATGCTTGTTTTGAATTGACCAATCAGATTGCATTATATGAGGTGTCTAAATCACTTATAATACCCCGGGAAAATATTTAGAAACCTCCGGGAAATTATTTAGATACTTCTGCCAAAGTTTGGGAAATTTTAGCAATAAAAATGATGACAGCAATAATAGTAATGTTATTTTTGAATTGTTATGTGTATGTTTGTGCAGTTATTAAAGCTGAAGTGTCTGTCTTCATCTAGAGATATGTTTTGTGCTTTTGGAGGATGAGGTGAATTGGTACTGATATCGTCACTAGCTACTGCTGTTTTTGTTTGTAATAATAATATTATTGAGGAAACATCTTCCGGCATTTTGGTGATCTGAAATGTGCTTATAAATTCGTACACCATCCGTGCTTCTGTGACCTGTTCTTTTCATGATTAATTGTTCATCAGCACCAGCTTGAAATAGTCTAGTAGCAGCAGTCACGCCGCAAAGTGAGTGGTTTGTTTGTAACCATCGATTCCCCAGTTGCTGCAGCAAACATTTTAAACAGTATTTCTCCATTAAGAAGAGTGGCCTGGTTGGAGCTTCTCCAAATCTTTCATTCTTTCCTTGCACCAGTCATTCAGAATATTTTCTACCATTATATTGCTTTTTTAGTTGTGCATGGCGCACAGTGCTGTTGTGCATCTTTAAATCCTTGTCCGTTGCGAAACAAGATGGTATATAGCACTAATGAAGTAGGCGGGGCAGTCATAAAATGATGAGATAGGCGTTTCCAGAGCTATCAGCCTATCAATTAATGGCGGCTGTGTTAGTCAAATCTTTTGAGAACAGACGAGCATGTCTACCTAGTTGCTTTTCCATTCTAGTGCGTGACTTAAAATGAATTGGTTGCTAATGGTAAGGATTTTTATACTTTTTGTGTATCCTAGCTACAAGAAATGCATCTAATCTGATTGGACGCATGGTAGAACACGGTTATACACCTTGGTCTCGTTTCTATGGCATTTATTGACCTCGGGACTGCGTCCCTCGGTCAATAAATCCCATAGAAACCTCGACCTCGGTGTATAACCTATACTTGTTGTACATTCATGTTAATCTAATATCTGATATAATACAAAATTACAAATATGTAATTTTGCATATTTCTGTAGCCTCATGCATACATTCTGTAGCCTTTGTTTTGAAATTCGTTTTTAAAAATTACAAATACAAAATATGTGACGGATTTTTAGAGGAATTACGGTATAAAGTTATAGACAGAAATGAACACAACATTATCTCTAAAATAAGTACATGATGTTCTACATTCAAGCTAATCAATATTACAAAATAAACATGCATTAATACATTTTGTAACTTTTGTTCTGAAATGTGGTTGGAATTTAATCTACATAGCATGAATGCAATGGTGTGAATCAAAAAAATTCTGTAAGGTCAATCTTGTGAAAATCATGAGAATCACAAACCACGTGTACTTGTACATGTGGTTCAATTGGAATGTTTACATGTACTTGTAGCTATATTTTCCAAGGACTGAAATGAAGATTCATACCATACACAGTTGCCAATATACGCATACATGTGTACATGTATATTGTATGTGCATATATACATGTACATGTATGTATATGTACTTACGGGCCATGTCAATCAGTAATTTCTTGATTGCTCTTGGTTGATCAGCAATGGCAGTAGTAGGAGGCATACACAACACTAGAAATAAATAGAATAATTAATAGTTGATTTCAGTTAAAATTTACGTACTTGTACTTGTACATGTAAATGCATGTGAGCCGAAACGCAAAATTTAATTCCCACTACATGTACATACATTGTACACATGTACATGTACATGTACATGTACATGTACATGTTAAATGCTGAAAAAAATGTAAATGGTGCTGTATTTCTCTCTTGTACAGTACAAGGCAAAAAAGCTAAGTAGCACACAGGACTTTGTATGTAGTTCGTAGATAATTATTTTACTTCGCTATTCTTAGTTACTCTTCGCTGTGCTACCCCCAGGAAGTACTGCAGTACCACCCAGTCACAAGTTCTGTAGTAGCAAGCTCCCAAGCACTAAAAAGCTCTCAAAGAACTTGAGGATGCTTCTCTTGGCTGTCTGTGCTCTCCAAGTTCATCTCTACTGCTGCTTTTAGAAACCTGTTTAGGAGGCTCTTTGCGTGATTTACCATCGAGCTACTGTCCTGCCTACTGACCACGTGTGCTACTACTACTAGTGGTGGGTTTGTGCATGAGCAACGAAGGAGGAGAGAACTACCTACATGTATGCAACAGTAGAGTAGCTACATGTACTGCATGTACTTAGCCTTCTATTGCACTGTACTGTATACTTACAGTTTTTAGTTTCTCCTGGTTCGGCAGTGTCAGGGTTCTTCCCAGGGTTCTGCTCTAGCCAGGCCTTCATACAGCGAAGAGTACAGAACTTATCAGTTTTAGCTAGTTTGATTTTACGCTCCCTAGTACACACAACACACTTCATTGAATCAGGATCAAGCTGAGGGAGGGAGGGAGTGGTTCACATTAATTGATAACTATATATTTGAAAGATGAATGAACATATTCTTCAATAGCAACACAAGAGTAGATTTCAATACATCACACACTTAGTGAAACTGCAAGGACTAATGAATGTGGAGTTGTGTACCATTTACATTGTAAACTTTGAGATGATATACAATTTAACAATTGCAATGAGCAATCAAATACATTTTTGTAGCAACAAATTAAGCAATAGACACAATTTAACTATTTTTTAATTTTTTGTAGTAAAAATTAAAAGCTCACTATAGACTCAAAAATGCCCTGTAAAGGGGGGGGGGGCTTTTATGAGCTAAAATTTCATGATTTGGAAAACAAGGAAATAAATTAAAATAAGCACAAAATGGCTATACAAAGATACAAAAAATCTGCATTATTCAAATACCATATAGTGAAAAATTTTGGAGGGAGCTAATTTTGTGTTTTGATAGCCAATCGCAAAAATAAATATCCTCCATTTTGAGTGATTATACACATGCCAATGGCACGTGGCTACAAATTTGCCAAATTAAAATTCACTAATCACCAAAACTTAGCAATTCACCAAATTTAACTCCCTCCAAAATTTCCCGCTGTACTAATAATAATAGCTTACAGGTTTCATTTTAGCCGGAGTAGATGTACTAGCAAGAAATGAAGAAAGACCAGCTGTCTCATCAGATACAGGAGGAACCTTACTCAAACTAGACCCGCTAAGAGGGACAGTATCAGTACTGGCCAGTATTAAAGAAGCCAAGCTATCACCATCAGGTGCCATACCAGCTGCCTTGTCAATAAAGGTACCGTCAGTCAGTTTGATGATTGGGGTCTCTTGCTGAACTGGCGAAGGTTCAGATGCCTGTATTGGAGTAGCTAGTGGTATGGACTGGTTGTCGTTATTAGCAGCTGCTGCAGCTACCAGGTGCTGTGCTACTGTAAGAATGGCAGCAGTCTTTGGAGTGTCGGGCATTTTATTCATGTAACAAGCTGGTAATCGCTTGAAGAGAGAAAGAGAGAGAGATGGTTATACACAAACCAATGTGTATCAAAAAATGTAATAAAATCTGGGAGTGGTTTCGGAGCAAAAAGCATAGGCTATAATACAGGGTATTTTCCAGAAATTGGTATATTTTTAAAACAGTCATAGCTCAAAAAAACTTTTAACCAGAATCAACTCAAACTTTCTAAATGGCATAAGTAAATCAATATGTAATAAAATTGGCAAGAAATATAGTCTTTACTTTTTCCAAACATTTGCTACTTAAAATGCTCATAGCTCAAAAACTTTAGGCAGTATCAGCTCAAACTTTCTACATAGCATAAGCAGATCAACATCAAATTCATCTGCTCATCCAGAAATAAATAATCACAAATTCCTAATTACCTTCCCCACACTAACAAACTGAGAGCAGCTCCTCAAAGCACACCTCTGCTTCTTCCTCCCTGGTCCTCCATACTTTGGCTTATCAAGACAGTAAAGACACTTCCCACAGTCTTCCCTCACACACCCAACACAACTGCCACACCCCCGACCACGCCTCCTGATATTCTTCTTTGCATTTGAAGCAGTAGAGTCTGATGATTTTGAGACAGGTGTGGTTGGAGCCGACGACCCTAATTTTAAAATAGATCGAAGAGGAGGTTCACCACTTTTAGTGTTAGCTTTCGTCTTTTTTGGTGGTGGGACAGACTGAGGCGTGGCCACGTTTTTACGAGGGCGCCCTCTCTTCTTGGGGGTCGTTGTGGGTGTGTCGACTGGCGAAATCAAAGCGGAAGGAGGATTGACAGTCAATGGGGTGCCATTGGTGGAGATAATTGCACTACCTGGGCCGGAATCATCAGTCGGTTTTTCGGGATCGGTATCAGTATCACTCTCAGAGCTACTGTCAGACGAAGAACTTGAGTCATCGCCTTCGTCTCCTGTGGGCGTGGTTTTAGCATAGGTGTGATCTCCGCCTACTGGAAGCGGCACAACGCTACTAACGAGAACGTTTTTAACTTTTGTGGGGTCGGTCATATCAGTGATAGGTATCGTTCCTTTAATGGAGGACAGTGGTTCAGCTCCTGTACTACCATTGCTTAAAGCATCGGTGGTTTTATCACGGCCAGTAGCACTAGCTGCAGAACCGGCAGGAATTGTGACTGGGTTGGGGTTGAATGTGACCTGCTTTCCTTCACCTGAGGCCGGCTCCTTTGTGGAGCTTAGGGTATTCGCCATTCCTCACCTTTATAATTAATTTCACGTATATCCAATGACTGGATTTGAGCTATAGGCTATTTCAGCTATAGCTTAGCTCTGTGCTTGTACAGGTTCTAGTGAGTGTTGTCTCTGAATGAAGAGTTTGGGAGCTTTTTCTATACGCGTGTCCGCCGCCGACAGGATCGATCGGGAGGTGAGTTTCGTTTCTTTTCTTTTCGTTTCTCTTCGTCGCCCCTCGAACGAGCGATCTCTTTCTTTAGATTGATCTGCGCATGCGCACTTGAGGTCCTTGCAATCTGCGCATGCGTCGAGAAGAGCCCCGGGAAATTTCACCGCCAATTCATTTCCCGTCACTTTTGCAAAAGCAAAAGTATAAAATTTTAGCACAAAATATCATTGCACTGTCTGTAATTTTAATAAAAAATATCTTTGTTATTCATAATAGCAGATTTAGTAATAGTTGCTACATTACTGATATTATTTCAATTGTACTACTAATAATTCTACATTTGATACTTAATTCCTTAATCTTAACATTGCAATATCTCTTAATGACCACTATTCTTTTAAGAATCACAGGTTTCAGTTCATTACTGATCACTGTATCAGTAGGTTTTGGGTTTTGGCTCCGGTTTTGGCAGCTTTTACAAATTATGATGATACTAAATGATGCTACTGCAAGATGCTAATGAGAGTTTGAAAAATTAGTTTAATAATATTTAATAATTGCATGATTATTACTTTATAGTTTTGTGTTACAAACAATCACAAAGCAGAAATTTTTGAGGATTTAAATCATTTTACCGGTGCGCATGCCCAGTATTGTTTCCCGGGAAGTTGTGGCGGTATCCCCCGCGCTACATTATTGGCCCAAAGGGCGTGTGCTTGTACAAAATGGAGGTCGTCGATGAATTCAAAGAAGAGGTAAAAGGAGCCTGTATTTGTATTGTTATGTTATATTATGTATTATTATTATTAGTTACACGGACTGTATAATTCGAAGCTTCCAGTTTCAAGAGCTAAAATTGGTGCTGTCACTAAATTAGCAATGAAAGCAATTAAAGTATGAATCTATTAATAAATAATAATAATAATATTTAAGGGGATGTCACTTTGTGGCATGTACTATGTTTGTGACTTGGCGATCAAGATTTCTAATTTCTGTACATGTAATTTGATGATTTAAAAGAGATAGTTATACATGTACATGTACAGTTGATAAAGAAAACATAGACGGCTGGATACACTGTGAGATATCAATCACAAACATTAGTACAAGTGACAGCCCTTTGATATAACGTTTATTATCCTTTCTTTTTTCTCTTGTATTCTCACTCCCTCTCTCCTCTCTCTCTCTCTCTCTCTCTCTCTCTCCTCTCTCTCTCTCTCTCTCTCTCTCTCTCTCCTCTCTCTCCTCTCTCTCCTCTCTCTCTCTCTCTCTCTCTCTCCATTAGCATTATAAACATGTAGTTATGATAGTAGAAAAATTCATATCAAAGGTAAGAAGTATTCTCCCCATGTGACTATCATGTGACATTCATCCACACACCCACACACACACAGTCCTCAGCTCCCTACAAGCTCCCGGCACTCTATGTCATAGATTCTATAGTCCGTCAGTCCAGACACCAGTTTAACGAGACTAAGGAGGTCTATGGTCCAAGGTTTGGTAAGAGACTGGACAAGATAATGCCACTCATTCATCAGTGTACTGAAGATGACAAGGTAGTGCATCTAATAGTATTGTTAATATATGTATTACATGAACATGTACTACCGTATATCTGGTAATTTTTATGGGGGTAAATTTTTATGAATAAAAATTTGGCATTTTTAATAGCCATTGAGCGAAATAAAAACCCACCATTTTGAACTTTTATTTGCATGTTCAATGGCATAATTATGTCCCCAATTTGCTAAATTAAAACCCGCCAATCAGGCAATTACCAAAATTTAGCAATTCTTACCAAGCAAAATTGAATATTTATTATTTTTATTCTTATTTTTATTTAGCCAAAAGTAACCCGTGTCCTTAACCTGTGGCAGAAGAACAGTGTCTTTCCTCCTGAAGTCCTCCAGCCGTTACTTGATAAAGCCCAACCCCCTCCAGCCTCCAGTCCTCAGGAACAACCCAGCTCTACCCAGCCAGTCCTAGCTGATGGAGGAGCAGACAAAAAAGAAAATAAAATAAAAACCGACTCTGCTACTAATAATAATATTTCTGTGCAACCACAGGATAAAATAGATGATGTACTTCGTGAGCAACAGGATCAGTTACAGAACTTGTTGAATTCTGCTAGTACTGGGTCTGAGCAGTCTGGGATGTTAGTGGCCCTCATTGATAAGGCAAAGCAGCTTCAGGACTTACAGTCGCTGCAGCAGGAAGTTATGAAGGGGTCTGGAGATATTGGGGGCCGGGGAGGGGGTGATAAGGGAACTGGAGAGAAGAGTAAGATGAGTCAGCAATCCGTGGTGGCTAATGAGTTTAGTAAGGTAGGGATCATGAAAATAAGTATCGTAATGTACATGTATTCTGTGTGAGCTGTGTACATTTACTTGTAGTATATTAATTACATGTACGTGTGTTGATAATTATCAATATTATAATGAGGATTTATTTATGATAAAGATAATTATGTTTACGCATAATTAATATAATTACAATAATTAGAAATACATGTACATGTACATGATTGCGTGGTAAAAGTTGAAATCGGCAAAAATATACATGTACAATATAGATACATAGACATATGCTTAATTGAAAAGTGAAGCATCACTATAATGTATGATGATTGATGTTAATGATGATAATTGATGATTATTGTAATGTATTTCATGTGAGCTATACATTTACATTTACATGCAGTGGATTAATTACATGTACAATGTAGCTATGAAATGATTATATTTTATGATGTGCTTTTATGTTTACACATAATTAATATAATTACAATAATTAGACATACCGTAAATCCTTAAATAGAAGCCACATTCGAATAAACGCCGGGGTAGCAATACAATTTAACTATAAATACGCAACACTAGCCTAGAAGTGACTTAGTAGTATAGTGGATAATGCCTGAAGTTCTAGAAGTCAAAAGCATGAGGTCACAGGTTCGAACCTCACTCAGGGCCTAAGTTTTTTTATATATTTTTTCAAGGTCCAAATACCATTTTAGGAAATAGATGCCCGGGCTTTTATTTAAGGAAATACGGTACATGATTGCTTGCTTGGCAAAAAGATACATGTACAATAGCTTAATTGAAAAGTGAAACAGTACCATACTACCATATTGTATGATCATTGATGTTCACTGTGTGTGTGCTCAATACATGTACATGTGCCTATGCCTCTCTTCCTTCCCTCCATTACAGGCATTGCTTGATAATTTTGATTACAGCAGTGATGAAGATACTGACACTAAACTACCAGCACCTGCTTCGATATCCAACGACAACAAGTAACTAATGGACATGTCACCATCTTTTTAATATATTGTTAGATCTAGAGGAAGTTAGGAGAGTTTTTTATCTACCATTTATTTTGGTGATTTTGCTGTAAATTTGTAATTGGCAGTTTTTAATTTGGCGATTTTTGTGTACACGTGCATTACTGAGCATGCGCATTAATGATTGGCGGTTTTAATATTGGTGATTCTGCTTGCAAACCACCAATCGCCAAAATAAAACTCTGCCAAATTAAAGCGTTATACGGTACTTAGCTTTTTATATAGCCTGAAGGTGCCCTTGAATCTCCCATTATTAGTTGCACCATGTACATGTACTATAGTATAGGGACTTTGGCCCGATTTTTGAGCAACTTTAGAAATTCATAAAAAATTCAATTTTGGTTAGAATCAGTTCAATTTTTTTACGCAACCTTATTAATAAAAATTATAAAAATGGAGAAAATTTACCTTTTCAATTTTGGCAAAATTTGGCCCAAGACCGTGTACTTATAGTACAAGGACTTTGGCCCAATTTTGGAGTAATTTACCATTTTGATTGGAATCAATCCTGCATGTGCAGTAGATCTAACAATTGCATATCTATTTCTAGTGATGCTTATGCCATTATTGACCAGCTGGAGGAGCAATTCAAACGAGAGATGGAACAAGGGTTAAACATCAAACCACCACGAGTCTCAAGATTCCATCAACCCTCTCCGCCCCCTCAATCTCTCCCGCCCCCTCAATCCCTCCCGCCCACACAACTAATTAATCCGTTATCTACCACAAACACTACATCACTTCCTTCCCCTCCTCCTCCTCCCCCTCCCCCTCCTCCTTCCTCCTCTCATGATTTTGATTGGTTGGCTCCTGACGTTCATCACTCTCCCTCACTCCGTCCTCCCCCTCACCTTCCTCCTCCTCCTCTCCCTCCCTCTCACTTTCCTCCGGTTCCTCCTCCTCACATGCCACACCTCCCACCATCTTATCATCATCTCCCTCCTCCTCCCCCAAGAATGCAACAAAAGTAATGACCTGTATACATGTATATGTAGTATTAATTAATAAAAGTTTGTAAAATAATAATTATATATAAGATTAGCATACACAATATGTACACGTATATGTGTTATTGATAAACTAATATTAGCCATATTTTACCTTTCAGTCATTATGCGTATGCTAGCCATGAATTCACCAAAATAGTTAAAACCTGCCATTCATGTACATGTACCTACAAGTGCAACCTTTTGCCTAATTTTGTTAATGACTAAATAAGCAGCTAAATCCTAGTTTACTTGATTACTTCAGCTTTGTAAGAATCTTTAAAATAAATGGACATTAATGTACCTATACCCACTACTGCAAAAATAACTTTTAATTGCAAGTACTGTATACATGTATGCATGTAAATTTTGGTATTTTAGCATGTGGTCAATTTTGTTGGTATTAAAAATAGCAATTAATATACGTGTATTTGCAATTTTGTCCCAAACACAGAATTTTCTAATTTATAAATGTACTGTACACATACATGACCCATGTTATTATTTATTAATTAATTTTTATTAGTTGGAGAGAAGACAAAGATTGGGCTCCTCCATCCTACCACCCCCCACTGCCCTCCATTCCTCATCATTATTCACGGTCTCCGCCCACCAGACGAGGCCACGCCCCCAGCCCACCTTCAGACAGACCCTACCACAGAGAGAGAAGTCCAATACGTCATTATGACCGTGGGCGGAGATTGGACCAGTCTCGTTACCATGATGACGAGAGGGACCGTGACCGTTCCCATGACAACGATTATCATTATCGGGAAAGGGAGGGACGGCAGAGGGAACGGGACTCTCGTTACCACGATGATGATAGGGACTACCCCTCTCGTGATAGGTCACATAGAAGCCGTCGCTCCTCATCTTCGACTAAAGCCGGCTATGTAACAGGTACATGTACATCATTAATTTTATTTTTTTAATTTCAATTTATGCTTATGTAGTATTATGTACGTGTAAAAATTGAGTTGTGATTTTGGAGCCATTTTTTCAGAAAAAACCATAGGCTATAGTATAGCCTATGGGTATTTTTCAAAAATTGTCTGATTTTTCTAAAGGCCATATACATTGTAACTCAAAAAATATTGATCAGAATCAGCTCAAACTTTCTACACAACATAAGGACATCAATATGTATCAGAAAATGTAATAAAAATTTGGGTTGATTTTGGAGCCATTTTTTAGAAAAAACCATGGGCTATATAGCCTTGGGTACTTTTCAAAAATTGGCCAATTTTTAAAAATGGCCATAACTCAAAAAATATTGGTCAGAATCAGCTCAAACGTTCTATACAGCATAAGGATATCAGTATGTATTAGAAAATGTAATAAAAATTTGGGGTGATTTTGGAGCCATTTTTTAGAAAAAGCCATGGGCTATAGCCTTGGGTACTTTTCAAAATTGTCTCTTTTAAAAAAATTCCCATAACTCACAAATTATGTCTTCTAATGTAGCATAAGAACATGTACATGTACAGTATAATGAATGTAATAAAAATCCTCTCATACAACAGGTATGTTATTATATTACATGTGTATTTATAGTTAAGAGTAAGACTGTGTGGATCGGTCATATCATGAAAGGAGTAGATAAAGACCAGCTGTCAAAAATGTTAGAAAAATACGGAGCAATAACTTCAATTGATGTTAGTCTACATGCACTTACATGTACATGTACACATGTAACCTGTATTCTTATTATAATATTCTCTTCCTGTACTTCTAGTTTATTGTTGCTCGTGGGTGTGCCTATGTTGTCATGGAAACTCGTGAGGCTGCGGCTAAAGTAGTAGATCAACTGAGAGACATAAAAGTCCTCGGACAGAAATGCAAAGTACGAGAGAGAGAGATTGTTAATAAATGCATCAGAGAATGTAACTGGGAAAAATGTAACAGTGGCCAAAATCCCTGTACTATAGTACAAGGATTTTGGCCTGATGTTTGAGAAACTTCAATAATTTGTAAAAAAATCCAAACTTGCAGCTCAAACTTTCTACATGTACGTAACATGCATGATTGTAAGAACATGTATAATGTATCAGAAAAAAATTTAAAATGGAGAATTCTGTCCCATTCAATTTTGACAAAATTTGTCCCAGAGACTTCGTTCCGATTATGGAGCAACTAACATATCATTTCATCATATTATCGTGATAGGTTGCTTGGGCCCCAGGACGTGGTGCAAAAGGGAAAGAGTTTGATCCGAGTTGGGATGTGAACACTGGTATCAGTAACATATCATGGGACAATGTGAAGACAAAGTCACAAGTGGAAGGACTGGGTAATGGAGGCGTGGTTGATACTAGTACACTCCCACCTCAGCTACGGGAAGAAGAAATAGCTGAAGTGGAAATGGAGAGTTGAGAACATCAATTACAATGTATGATAATAATAATAATAATAATAATAATAGTAATGTATTTTAATTGTTTTTTCTACTTTTCCAAGTTTGCAATAGTTTCATACTAAAATAACTGTTCGATTATACCCAACAGTATCTTGCCACTCATCATCGTGTGATGCTGTACACTAATCAACATTAATGAGATATAAGATTAGGTATCCACATGTGATCTATGCTTCTTATCATCCTCAGCTGATTTTATTTCACAAAAGTGTTTTTAATAAAAATTTTTTTCATTATAATAACATATATACAATACATATATACATCACATGTTAATAATTGATGGGTCAGGGAATCAGACAAAGAGAAAGATAAATCTGGAGATACAATACAAAAATAAAACAAATAGACTTTGGAAACCTGGGGTAAAGTATTATTTTTTGACAGTGCCTGACTGTTCGTGGGGAACTGAATGATAGGAGTAGGCTAGTCTAGTACCAAGTAATAATGGAGTGCACACTGCTTTGTGTTTCTCATCTACTACGATCTTTTCTAGTCTTTCATTTGACTTGAGAGACTTGGCCAGTTCCAGCACTCCCTCAGTATCAATGCTAGTGTTGGAGACATTGAGAACTGACAATGTGGAGTTGATGCATATAAACTCAGCAAGTGATGGGACGCTGACTGAAGTGATTCCAGTATTGAACTCAAGTGATAGGTGCTGAAGCTTCTTGTTATTCTTTAGAGATTCAGCTAAGATAATGACCCCATCATCATCAATGGAATTTTGATTGATGTACAAACTCTCTACTGTGTTGTTATCTGAAATTTGAGATGAGAATGACTTAACAAAATCACATTTCAAATGGGTTGAGCGAATATACAAACTACTGATTTTTTTTGTCTGCAACAAAGGCACTAGCAGCAACTGAGCAACATCAGAAGAGGAATCACTGAGATAAACGTGTTGATGTTTGTCCTCTATCTTTGTTAGGAGATTTGGACACTGCTCTGATGACAAAGAGGTAAGACGAACTTCGAATTTACCCGATTCTATCACTATAACTATAAGAGCAAACATCATTAATGAATAAGAAAGTATAAAATAATGACTTACTTGTGTGCTGATCTTTGCTAGCAAGCTTAGCTCTCAAATCATCAATTTCACGGTGCATGTTCTTTGTCATCTTTTGCTGCAAATCCATAGAATCTGTCATAAACAGTTTATTCTGTAAAATCATTTTCATTTTATTTTGTTATATACCTCTTTGTGCTTTCAGTTCTTCTTCTTTATTAGACAGCAGTTGCTTTGTGAATAATAATTCTACATCATGATTTATGTCATTGCATGATTTTATAATACATTTTTATTATCATTACCTTCATTTGCTGTTGACAGGTTTTCTTGCAATGTCTTAATCACTGATTCATTCTCAACTTTAATTTCTTGTAGTTGGCTTTCAGATAGTTCTTTGAATCTTTCATGATCTTTATATAGCAATTAATGTAAAAGATCTCTTTCAAATGTAAAAATTTACCAATGGTTCCTTGAACAAGAGTAGCCACCTTTTCCTTCTCCTTAGCTAATTCCTGTTTAGTAGATTCTAGTTCCTTATTAGCGGCTATTATAAGTGTATTAATATTCATATCGTTAATAAAAACTGTTCTAACCAGCAATGTTTTCTTCATTATTATTAATACGAACTTGCAAATCGTGAATCTCAGAATTCAATTCTTCAATATTCAGTCAGAATTAATTTTTAAAATGAACATGTTTCTTACCATTTTCCTTCCCTTTGATGGCCAGCTGCATTTCTTCCTTGATAGCTACATGCACATGTACATCATTTAATTCGTAATCTGTTATTTTATTTTTACCAATTTTCTCTTCTTCCTTTCTTTGAATAACAACTAGCAGCTCTTGAATCACACAATAATATATTAAATCAACAACATTGAATCATTCCTACCATCTTCCTGCTCTTTGAGAGTAGCTTCTAAAGTCTCAATCTTATTCTTCATTCTTTCCTCAGCATCTATGCACAATACAGCAATAAAGTGACTAACTTTTTCATATTTTTTACTTGAGGGTTCCTCTTTTCCTGATACAAAACTTTTGCGATCAGCATGGCCCTTAACCAATTCAGTTGATTGTTCACCTATATAAGAAATGATCCCTGGTACATACATGTAGCATACAATGACATTACTAAATAATTATGAGTATGTATACACATTACATCATGCATGCATGCAAGATGAGTATGTGCATTTGTATGTCTACAGGCACTACAAAACACATGTAAGGTATAATGGGTGTGCATTAGGATTACAATTTACAAAAATGTATATACTAACAATCTGCAAATATATTGGTGAGATATTGATCGTAATCATCAGCCACATCCTGTTTATCTGGATCCTTTCTCAATTCCTCTAGCAATTGCCTCCTGCTTGCAGTAGGAGTGTTTAGCCATAGCTCAAGCAGTGCTAAGGCCTTTCCCATTGGTAGCTGATCTATATCCTCTTTTATCAGTCCCAGCATAGATCCCAGTATTAGTCCAAACATAAACCATTGATTCTTTGTATCAATGTGTTGAATTAGCTCTTCTTTTGGTGGCTTCTGATTCAAAAAGTCATCGTAAGAGATATCTCTGTTACAGGCCATTTGAATTCAAACAAGGCAACTAAACATAAAACAAAAATGTATATATAATAAATGATTCTATGTAAACTTTTTCTTGTACTGAAATTAGGCCAAAATATGATAACTGTTTTACTATAACCTCAAAAATTATTTACTAGTTTACCTAATTCCAAGAACATAAAAAAATTAAAAAAAAACAAGATTAAGTAGGATTCTAGAGCAAATTCGTAAAAAAGTAATGGAAACAAGGACAGGCAGGATTCCGAATGACCAACAAAAATATGAAATGAAAATCCTACTCGTGATGCAAATTCTACTCTACATTGTACTTTCAATGTTATTATGTAAGAATTACGGATCACTTTGCAATGTAGAGTAGAATTTGCATCACGAGTAGGATTTTCATTTCGTATTTTCGTTAGTCGTTCGTCCTTGTTTCCATTACTTACTTTTTTTACGAATTTGTTCTAGAATCCTGCTTAACCTTGTTTTTTTTAAATTTTTTATGTTCTTGTTTGTGTTGATTTTTTTATGATTTATAATATTTTTTCAGTTTCCATTGCGATACCAGTCGATTTTACACAAACAATAATTTTCTTCATTATTATTACAGTATAACCTCGATTATCCAGACCTCGATTATCCGGATCCTCGATTATCCGGACTCTGAAATCATGACCGGAAGTGACCACGTGGTGCTTTAAATTCACTTAATTAGAGTATATGGTATTATAAAATGGCTGCTTTCTACACGGAGTAGCTTGTTTAGCACTGGAATGCTGCTGATTAATGGCTTTCTACTAGTAACAAGGCTTGGATTTAGCCTCCTTATGGCTGATTAAGGCTCTAGCTTTTCTTTGGAGTAAGCATATGAAGGCTTTAAAGGTCATTTTAATTATCCAGACTTTTCACTTATCCGGACCCATCCGGACCACCTGATGGACAAAGGGGTCCGGATAATCGAGGTTATACTGTATTCTTGTCGTGACTTTACAGAATTTACGAGACTGAGTTAGCATTCAATAGATATGCTGAAGGACTATCTGTTACACTGATGACAAGTGAAATTAATACTAGTCTTGACATGAGTTCTTGTTCAAGAAGCAGTGAGAATACCCATCTTTCCCAGCAATCCTGTAGCTATTCCTGTTGTTGAGTTCATAACTGTTATGATTGTATTATTATAACATTAATTAATATTGTTTGTGTTTTTTTAATAAAATAATTGATCACACACTTGATGTAACAATAATATGTAAGATTAATACCTTCCCTTAGCTGGAAACCTCCGCTAAGTATTGCAATTGATTCCAAGCATAACTAGCCTAAGCCCTAAGGTAAAAAGTTAATTGCTTTTCCCAGTTCTGAGATCTGAGCATGCGCGACCACACCCAAATTTTGGAGCACATGCTTCTTTAAATTAACAAAATGGCGGCATGAGACAAGTTTTTGACTGACCCAACAGTCATAGTATCACTTCTTTCTTTTTGGAGAACGATCTGATGGGACATGGACCTGCGCATAGACTTTTGGAGTAGAATGATGTAAGACTTATCCTTCTAGCACCAACCAGTATTGAGATACACGCGGAAACTTGATTGACACATGAAGACGAAAAAAATGGGCTGAACAAAACTGCGGTCATCTTGCCGATTTTCCACTTTCAGGTTAGACCAGGTTTAAAGCCACGCTAGTGGTACCCATTGGAGTCCTCTGGTCAAGATGAGGTCCTCTAAGAAGTCTGGTAAGTATAGGAGCTCGTTTTCCCGGTATAGCAAGGCTTGTACTGGAAGCCATTTTGTTTGGGGGTGAATCCCACTTACTAACGCTACGGCGTTACTAATAATATACCTTACCCTTTATCTATTGATTCTTTCTAGTTCTCATAGGCGTCGTTGCCTAAGGGGCAGGTAGGGCAGTTGCCCCACCATTATTTTGAAGATCAGTAGCCATTTTTATTAAAATTAGTTATTAATTCAAGTTAATAACTATTGAACAAGACTCAATCACTGCTTATTTCTTCACACACACCAACAACTAAATCATAATGTAGAAATACAGTCAGTAGTTAAGCAATTTATTGCTGGAAACTTCTTAAGATATAAACACCAAGATAAAATGCAAAATCAGCACTGAAGTGTTGTTGATTATTGATATGGGGGTGAGGCTAATAAATTATGCCATTAATGTTAATATTAACTAACTATGCTCATTGCTTATGATGTATCTCTATAAGTAACAATCATTTCTTTAATTAAACAGCAAAATCACTACATAAATGGAAAGGTTTCACATCACTAAATAAAGTTGTTGTTTGTTGTTGTTGTTTATTGTAATTTGGTGCTACCAATCACGCCACAGGCCAGACGAGCTCCAGCATGACCAGTAGTCAGACTGTCAGGATGACCATCTTTACCAAGATCATCAGGATCAGCATGTACCTGCATGTGTATGTAATAATAAAAATAATTATTTAATCATACATGTACATGTATACACAAAATCCATAACTATAGTATGTACCGTAATTCCTCTAAATATTCAGGACTCTAATTCGAAAATAATTATTTCAAATTTTCTACCAAAATATATTCTAAAAATTTGTTTTAAATAATATCGTTCCATGTATAGTTCTAATTTCGTTCTAAGTTCAATACAAGAGAAGGATATTCTTAATGGCCCAGGTTAGCATACAGCTGGTTTCATGTATCAATGAATCCCTCCAAATTTGACAAACTTAAAGCTTTATAACTGCTCTCCCTCTGAAAATTCATTTAAAAAAATTACAAATACAAAACTTGATGTGAAAAATTTTCTGAAAAATTATGGTATATGTATACAAGTACAAACACCCTGTACTTAATCTTACCACAACTGATCGTCCAATGATACTGTTAGGACCAGTCAGTGGAATCTGATCATCGTACAACTCAATTTTAGTGTCCCCTCCAGTGGATGTGATGTTCCCAAGGTCACCAGCGTGTCTCTCGCCATCTCTGGGTCCGCCATGATTCTTACCAGCTGGGTTGAAATGAGAGCCAGCACTGACACAACCTTGAAAATAATAATAAATACATGTAGATGAATGTAAAATATTGAAGGGCTCCGCCTCATCGCCACACCTCCTAGTCACGCCCCCAAACATAGAGATTCTCATCACCCAATAAACTACACTAGATGAATGTAAAA